CGGGCACGACACTGAGGGTTGCGATCCCGTTGCCGGTCCCGGTCTGGTACGGGCGCGACACTGAGGGTTGCAATCTGTTGCCGGACACGAAAAAAGACAAAAAAAAAAAGGAGGGCTAGATAGATTCAGTAAGCTGACAGAGATCTGGTTAAAAGCTGTGGCAGGGGAGATGTGAGGGGGGCAGGAAAGGAAACTGTAAATGACCTTTGTATTTAAATACTTACCTTCCGTGAGTCCCACTGTCCCAATCGGAGGGTGGCTGAAGACCACAGTGGGGATGTTGTCATAGTCTAATTTGGAATCTTCTTTGCATTCAAAAAGTCTATGGGCAAGTTTTCGGCCAGCAGCTATTGCAACTACAAAGATATTTAAAAATCAGTGTTTATCTTACTGTTCACTGTAACACTGCAGAATTGTTCTATTAACCAATTATCCATTTGGCTTAAAATACTAGTTCTGACAAAGTTTTATGCCAATACTCATTATAACATCTAGTTCAACATAATAAAGACAAATCAATACCTTAATGAACAATTCAAAGCTACTAGCTTATGTGAATTCTGTACATTACATTATGACCAAAAAACAAACAAAAAAAAAGACACATTTGCAAGTTCCCAATTACCTGGCAGTTAATCTACTTAATGAGGATTATAACATGATAACTTTTTGATACAGTATTTATGGAACAAACTATATTAGTTTCAAGTATCTTCAGTTCTACTTTATAACCCTATTCGTTTCACTTTTTTTTTTTTACTTAAAAGTTTATTCTCCTCATCTTGGTTTTTTCTTTCTTTCCTAACAGTCTTTAAAAATAAAAAAGCCTAAGTTTATTATTTTTATTTATTTGGGTTTTTTTGCTGGCCGGTACAGGAATTGAACCCTGGACCTTGATGTTATCAGCACCACGCTCTAACCAAGTGAGCTAACCAGCCAATAAAACCTGAGTTTAGTAAAAGCAGCAGTTACTTTACTGATTTCAAACTGATAGTTTTTTTTTCCCAAAATAAGATTTCAATAGGATACATTTTGAAACTTTGCTTGTTATTTTGCTTTTGTTAAGACAATTTCATCTCAAAAGATACAAAATTTCAGCTAGAAAGAATAAGTTCAAGAAATCTATTATTGTGCAACATGGTAACTGCAATAGTTAATTGCTAAGAGAGTAGATTTTAGGTGTTCTCACACATACACAAAAAAAGGCAAGTGTGTGAGGTAATGTGTATGTTAATTAGCTTGATTTAGCCATTCCACAATGTATAAATATTTCAAAACATCATGTTGTACCTCACAAATGTATACAATTTTTTTTTAATTAAAAAAAAAATAAATTTTAGGGCCGGCCCGGTGGCACACTGCTACAGTGCGCCACTTGGGAGCGCGGCGGCGCTCCCGCCGAGGGTTCGGATCCCACATACAGACCGGCCGCTCACTGGCTGAGCGAGGTGCGGGCGCGACACCAAGGGTTGCGATCCCGTTGCCGGTCCCGGTCCGGTCCGGGCGCGACACTGAGGGTTGCGATCCGTAGCCGGTCACAAAAAAAGACAAAAAGGAAAAAAAATAAAATAAAATAAATTTTACAAAAGAGAGAACTTCCTAAAGGAGCTGAAAGGATTCAGGTATGAGGCCGGCATGGGTTTCCATCCTGAGGCAAGACCTGGAACACTTTGATACGGCTGGTGAGGTACTACAGGGGTACAAGTGTCACTAACGATGGAGGTGGGACAAAGAGCTTGAAATGGTTCTAGTTAACTCAGGAAGTGGGTTGAGGTACCGGAAAAGGGGGGAAAAGGGGGGAAAAGGGGGTTGGAGTTGGTTGCATCAAGACCAAATAGTCATACAAGAATGCCAACCTAAATCACTTCTTCCGAAAGCCACCTCCTCCCATTGTCACCACACACACATCTGACTCTAACTTAGAGTTCTTTGGAGGGTGACCATATCATCTATATGAAAATTTCAGTCTTCACTAAGTATTTTACATCTTTAATGGAAACATGAATGTTATTCACAAAATGCCAGGTACTCAACCAACATCTATATCAATACATTTGTACCACTTTGAAGACATAAAGACACTTGTCCTCTTAACTTTAAGTGGATTTGACTGTGAAGAGCTGGACGGCTTTACCAAGAAAGGAAGAAACGTTACCTGGTGTGAGAAGAGCTTTCCCACACACATCGCCAACTGCATAGACGCCCTTTACGTTGGTGTTCTGGAATTCATCTACTATGATATGACCTTTGTCATCAGTTTGAATCCCCTGAAATTATGAAGGGACATCACATAAATATTTGGCCCATCTGCTAAAAATGGTAGATCAAATCTCTGGATCTACCTCATTTCACATCAGCACCTCTTTGGCCTGAATCTCCAAACCACAAGACTCAACTACAACATGAAAACATTTAAAGTTGGTAAGTTTCATATCTTTTGCAAAAAATAAACATTTTACCCAACTTTTGGGTGTTTTAACAGAATTTGGCAATACTATGTACAATTCTACTAGCAAGGTAAACATGAACTCACTCAACTCCCAGGTGTGCTGCCTGCCGCCCTTGCCTGAGCAGGCTATAAACATTTTACCCAACTTTTGGGTGTTTTAACAGAATTTGGCAATACTATGTACAATTCTACTAGCGAGGTAAACATGAACTCACTCAACTCCCAGGTGTGCTGCCTGCCGCCCTTGCCTGAGCAGGCTGGCTCACACTGTAGGAGGCTCAGCCCGAGGCAGTCACTGAAAGCCCGTTTCTTTGAAGTTTACCATTTCATCTATAAAAATCCAAGTAATATTGCATTCTACTCTAAAAATACAACCAAGATGTTTTTCCTATACGTTGAGTCAAATTTTTGCTCCAAGAAGAGGTGTTGTGCTTATCTTGTGTATTTACAAATCCCAAGTGCATATGCCCTAGTGTCATAAGTACATATAGCAAAAGTAGGCAGCGGGTAGTGTAGTTGTTAGGAACACAACCTTTGGAGCTAGATAACTCAAGGTTCAAATCCCAGCTCTGCCACTTACTAGCTATGAGTCTTTGTTTAACCACTTATTTATCAACAAATATTTGAACTTCTGTTACAAGCAATAGTTTAACCTAGTCACTGTGAATACCGTGGTATGGAAGACAGATGTCTTCCTTGCCCCACAGAGTTTACAGCCTGGTGAATTACCTACCATCCCTGTGCTCCTGGTTTCCTCATCTTTACCCCTCAAAGAGTTGTTGGCAAGATGAAATTAGATTAGGAACGCGTGGACGAGACCTAGCACATAGTAATCATTCAATGTGCATTATATAAATGTATCTTACATTGAGTAAGACTGAAAAGTTTCTTTGCCTCATTCTTTAAAAATTCAGCAATTATAGTTAAAAACTGGACCTACCAAGTTTGTACAATGGCAAAATATCCCTTGAAGTTAAAAAGCTGGATGACTAGTTTTGTTAATATGCAAATAGACAACTATCTTTACTAAATGTCATTGAACAATAAGATTAAAAACAAGCAAAATATCACCCTGGACATTTTATTCTTTAAAATTGTTGAAAAATAACCTTATAAAGAAACGAAAAAGAAATCCACATTATAAAATAAATTAATATTAGAACTTAAAATGTTACACACCGCTCAAAAGCCATCAAATCTCTAAGGCTCAAACATAAAATATTCTATTACTACTAATAGAGTAGCACAGCATTATCAGAAAAATCGTCATGAACATCAACAGCAGGTTAACACGTGTGTTCATACTATAAGCCAGGGTCTAAGCTAATTACTTTTCATGTACTTTCTCATTTACTCTTCTTTGTAACTCAGTGAGACCAGAACTGTTTTTATTCCAATCTGTAAATGAAGCAGTTGAGAAACTAAGCTGCTTGCTCAAGGCCATGCGATAGGTAAGTACTAGAAGTAGGTTTCAAATCTAGGTCAAACTCTGGGAACCAGGCCCCAAGCTATTGTACTAGATTTTATTTCAAAATTTTAAAGAACAAAGAATGCTGTCTGCATATATAGCACTGGTGGAGCCGAGAGAGAGACAGTTTCACATATGTTCCCATCCCTGAGGACCACAATGTCCAAGACAAGTTACACACCCAGCAACCTGGATTAGACACTATGGGACAACAGGGGATCCGTATAGGACCTCAAAGGGATATCACACAGCAAAAAGGAAGTCTGTAAGGAGGAGGCCAGTCAGAAAACTGCTGGACAATCTAGATTACAGGTGGCAGGGACCTGATCTAGGGGGATGACACTAGAAAAGCAAAATAATTTATTTTTAATTTCAAAGGAAGATGCAGTGGGATTTGATGACAAACTGAATACATGGAATAAAGAGAAAATAATCCAATAGAATCTACCCAAGTCTTGGGTGCTTGGGGGTAGGGGTGAGGGGTGTAATCACAAGGATACTAAAACATTCAAGAATGTTTGGGGCAGACTGAGTCAGCTTACCAGTGTGTTTAAATTCAGGCCCCTGGAATTTGGGTCCCGCCCAATGGCCCAGAGCAGGCAGTCAGCATCTGGAATCATGGTCAAGGTGGGTTTCCTACCAGGAACTGCAGTAACCACAGAGATTTCCAAGCCCAATGAAGTCTTTTTAACTTCCTTGACCTGATGGCAAATAAAATGTAAGTGTGTGTGTTGGGTGGAGAAATGCAGATAAAGAGGAAGCTAGAACTTTTAACATCCAAAAAAAAAAAAAGTCCCCACTGAATCCTACATGCTGACACAGATATTTACTTTTACCCAAAGGCCACCAACACTAGAACTCCCTGGAGCCAAGCCTGTTTCCTGGGTTGCCCCAAATCTTCTAGCCAGTGGCCCAGAATGTGGGCTTTCATTACCACCTTACTGCTTCAGCTTAGAAATAATGTATTTTAAAGTGTACTTGCTAAAAACTGTGATAAAATTTTAAGTCACTAAACCAAGCACAGTGGTTTGGAAGTGGCTGCAGCAGCATCACTGGGAAACTTTTCCACACTGAACCGTGACTGCTTCTCCTGGACAGTCTTAATCACAATGCGGAGGGGAGTGAGAGCTGCTGAAATTCTGCTGAAATTCAAGCGGTTCCCTGAGGAGTAAAGTGCTCTGTAAGTCTTTCCATCTACAAAACCCGAAAGGGTATGCTTTAAAAATAGATGCCATGATATTTCCTGAAAAATAAAAATCTGAAAAAGAAGGATGTGCAATAAGGCATCTGAGCACAGAAATCAAAGTTTTGTTCTAAAGTCAACTGCCAGGTTTCCAATCTTGGACACCTGGACTTCCTTAATACGTTAATGTGAAAAGCAGCTTCTGAGGAGAAAGGAAATACTGGTTACTACTCTGGAAGTGGGATCAATTGGTGGCGACAGACACAGAGTTTGTGTTTATAAAGCTAATTGGGTGGAAGCAAAAGCCAACAGTGGGATTCCCGCCCCACCGACGACAAGGGCCGTGAGCGTGCCCGGGGCGCACACTCACCTGGGAGTGTTTCAGGACCTCTATGCCCGCATTCTCCAGCTCTTCAGTGCAGTTGGAACTGATGATTGAATCAAAATTTCTAAGTACCTGTGTACAAACATAGGGATGGGTGGTGGGAAAGGAATAAAACTTGATTAAAGACATGCTACAAACTTGAGAGGGAAATTTCAGTATTATTCTCCCTCTTATAACCTCCTTTAAAAAAAAAACCCTCCTTCATGCATAACCATATTTGGAGCATTTTAATAATCGTCTATGTTCCTTGTCACCACATATGTCTGTATTACATGTGACTTGACCAACTACTGTTTTATTTATTTATTTATTTTTATTTTTATTTTGTTTTTCCTTTTTTGTCTTTTTTACTGACCGGTAACAGGATCGCAACCCTCGGTGTCGCGCCCGTACCGGGGACCGGCAATGGGATCGCAACCCTCGGTGTTGCGCCCGCGCCACGCTCAGCCAGTGAGCGGGAACCGGTCTGCACATGGGATCTGAACCCTCAGTGGGAGCGCCACCGGGCCGGCCCAACCAACTACTGTTTTAGAGTTAAATGGGGAGTCAACCTTCAGGCCTCTACTATCCTTGTCACATTCCTGTCCTTCCATGCTTGCTTATCCTTTCTGTAAGTCCAGGGAACAGAAATTCTCTTTCCCCCTTTAGTATTTCAGGGCCAAGTTTCCCTCCAATATGATTTAAGGGACGGATCCCTAGCAAAATCTCCTTGTCTAGCTTGGTCTTGGAGATTTATCTGTGATAACCCACGTGCAACACACCCTAGGCAAGGTTAAGGTGGGAGGGCACAAGTTATTCACAGAGTAGTTCTAGAATGGAGTTACACCAGGTGATATGAATTGTGTCCCCCAAGTTTTATGTACTAGTAGCTTGATCCCCACTGTGACTGTTAAGAGGCTGCAAAATCCTATTACGGTAATTGTAACGTGGGGCCTTGAAGAGGTGATTAGATTCTGAGGACCACGCCTAGTGAATGGATTAAAAATGATGGTCATAGGCGTGGTTCTGAAGGCTTTGAAAGGAGAGTGCATGTGGAACTATCACTCTCTCTGTTCTGTCATTTTGTGCCATGTGAGACCCTGTCTTGCTGTAAAGACACCACCAAAGAAGACCTTCACCAAATGTGTTCCTTGGACTTTGGACTTCCCAGCCTCAGAAACTGTAAGCAATAAATTTTGTTTTCTGGGCCGGCCCAGTGGCGCACTGGAGAGTGCGCTGCTTGGGAGTGTGGCGGCGCTCCCGCCAAGGGTTCGGATCCCATGTGGAGACCGGTTCCCGCTCACTGGCTGAGCGCAGTGAGGGCGCAACACCGAGGGTTGCGATCCCGTTACCGGTCAGTAAAAAAGACAAAAAGGAAAAAAGAAAAAGATTTTGTTTTCTTACAAATCACCCAGTTCCAAGTACTTTGTTATAAGCAACAGAAATGGACTAATACATGAGGACAGGGCCAAGAGGGAGGGTGAGCCTGATGCATTAGGGACAGGAGAGGGCAGGAAGTCCAAGCAGATGTGGCTCTCTGCCAATGAGCCAATTTTCCAAATGCAGGAAGTATCCACTCTACCAACAGGCTGCTGTGGTTTATTTACTTATCTATTTATTAAATTCAGGCTTGCTATCTCTCTGCCTTTCCCCTTCCTTCCCATTTGCTGGATATATTCTAGCAGTGCAAAATAATGTTTACCTAAGAAAAACATATTCAGGACATAAATTTCCTAGGGTTAATTATATGACAAGTTTCAAAGCTGAAGAGAAAGTTCCTTGGAGAAGACACTGACTAGAATTGTCAGTATCCCTTGTCTGCATTTGTTTCCTCCAGTAATAATCAGAATTACAGCAGTAGAGTGGTCAGGGGTCTGATAAATCCTGTCCCTGTAGAACTAGGCTCCAAAGGCACGAAATGACTTGCCCAAGTCACATACTTGTTAGGAACAGCCAGCAGTGGGACCAAATTCTTCAGCCAGCACTCTTGTTACTACTGCCCCACACCATGTCTCTCTGAAGGCTCTAATGTGGTGCAGTGCTCAGTAAGGATTAATTAACCACAGAAATAAAGCAACACTTCACCAAGCAATGACAAACACGGTGGTGGCACCTAAGCAGGAAGAATACTGGCCTGGGCTTCCTGAAACCTTAAACTCCCAGTTTTGATACTAATTAGCAGCCACAAAACCACTCTTGGCCTTAGTTTCCTCATCTATAAAATCAATTTCAAGTGGGTGATCTACAAGTTTCCCTTTAATGCAAGGAATTTAGTGAACTAAGTGTTAACCCAATGCTATGTGATCATATGAAACTGATTTCCAGAATTACGAAACGAACCTGACAGTCTGTTTAATTTAATTAGTATTTATATTTAAGCCTGCATGTCTCTTTATTAGGGCATCTGATGACTATCTACCACTTCATGATGAAAATACTGGCCAGTTTGATCAACTCAAAATCATCATCATCAACTAGCATCTGGGAGAGATATATGGCCTACTTAAAATAACTTGGATGCAGCCCCGCGTGGAACAGGCCAACTGACCTCTACCAGGCTGCAGTCAAAAGTGCTCCAGGCTTCCAGACTGGGGCAGTGGGGAGCCTGAGGGCCTCAGCCATGCCCCCCACAATGTCCACATCTAGCCCAGCGATGACCACTAGGCAGCTGCCAGAAGCGCCCCAGGCTCCCGGCGGGGGAGGGGGCCCAAGGGCCTCAGCTGTGCCCCCCTGAAGTCCACATCCAGCCCAGCCATGACCGAGCCACCACCAGAAGCCCCCTAGGCTCCTCTGCAGGAATGAGGGGCGTGCCATGGGCCTTGACAACGCCTCCCCCTTCCTTGTTTCTCCTCTTCCCTATCTCCCCCCCTTTCCCCTCTTTCCCTCCTCCCCAACTGCTCCACAACATCATCTTAGAATGTAAAAATAATAATAATAATAAAAAATAAATTTTAAAAAATGAAATAAAATAACCCAGGGAATTACAGGAGGCAAAAAAAAAAGAAGAAGAAAAGAAATTGTGCATAAAACTCAGCACTGCTTTTCCAGGCAGAGCTAATTAAGAAGGATTAAGGAAGATGAAATAAATTATATCTCATTATGTAATATGATTCCATTAATGATCCAAGTATTTATTACACTCATATTATGAACCAAATAAATACTATATTAATGATTAGGCAAAGATAGATAAAATGCTTATCATGCCTTCAAGGGATAAAAAAAGCTGTCTTAGGTAACTCAGGCTATTCACATTCATTAGTTTCTTTCCAGGCTTTCAATAAAACCCTCACCCACCTTTTTCCAATGTGATAGATTGCCACAGCTTTTACTCTGTTAAGCTTAGATTTCTCTTTGATAACATTCTTCAAAACTTTAATTTTATAAATTTATTTTTCTCCAAATTAAAATCTTCAATTAAACATACTTCAGTTAGATGACACATAGTTATGTTATGTCTATGGTGATCAAAATAAATTAATTTACACTTGATCTTAGCCAAAAGACCGAGAGGCGATAAAATAATTTGCCAATACACCTTTAAAAAAAAAAAGAATTTACCTTATCATGTCGTATAATTAATGATGTCTTAGAACCCAGGGCTGAGAGGATCCCAGCTATCTCTACAGCAATGTAACCTGCACCAACAATGACACTGCGGCTAAAATGAAAGCAGAGCGTTAATATTTTTAAATAAACTTATTTCAGAATAATTTTAAATCTACAGAAAAGCTGCATTGGTAGTACAGAGATTTCCCTTATACCCCTTGCTCAGTTTTCCCTAAAGTCAACATTTTATATAGCCATGGTATATTTGTCAAAACTAACAAGTCAACATTGGTACATTACTACTGACTAAACCCTAGACTTTAGATTTCACCAGTTTTCCCTTTAATCTTTTTTTTTTTCCTGTTCCATGATTCAATCCAGGATACCACACTGCAATATTAAGTAGAATATCCCTTCAGGGGCCGGCCCAGTGGCGCACTGCTACTGTGTGCCACTTGGGAGTGCAGCGGCGCTCCCGCCGAGGGTTCGGATCCCACATACAGACTGGCCGCTCACTGGCTGAGTGAGGTGTGGGCGCAACACCGAGGGTTGCGATCCCGTGGCTGGTCCCGGTCCAGTACGGGCGTGACACTGAGGGTTGCGATCCATTGCCGGTCATGAAAAATGACAAAAAGGAAAAAAAAAATCTAGAAAATAATTAGAATGTATAATTTCTCAACCATTAGGAAAAAAATGGAACAAAGAAAACGTGATCAGTCCAACACCAGATAGAAAATGGGCACAAAGAAATGATGAGAAAGGATGGCATGTGGAAAACATCATTTAAGATTATTAAAAACCTGGAGGATTTTGGCAATCACTATAAATATGACTGGAGCTGTCTTGCCACCCAGTCACATAGTTGGCAGTCATTTATTTGTGGGCATCAGCATACAGGCAGCATGCAGAGAGAAAGCAGACACACTGACACAGAAAGAGGACCTGAGAGGCCACGCGATCATCTGATGGTCTCTCAATTTCCATGCTGTCTGGCAGTGTTTCCTGGGGTGGGGATCCGTGGTTTTTAGGGACTGGCTGGTTAGTTCAGTTGGTTAGAGAGCGGTATTGTAACACCAAGGTCAAGGGTTCAGATCACCGTATCATCTAGCCACACACACACACACACACAAAAATAATAATAATAATAATAATTTTTTAAAGCCTCATTTCTTCTGAATGGAAACAAAAACCTTTGAAACCAGAGGTGAGTCTTCATGCAGTGATCCTTGCACCTGAAACTAAAATCGGGGCCATGATTCTCAGCACCACTGTTCTCTATTTGGCATTTTTCCTTGATCAGTATCCAGTTCTATTAATCCTTGCAACATGACCAAAGGCCAGTTTAAGAAGCCACTTTAATTTGTAGGGCAGACCTGCAGTCATACTAAACTCTGTGAATAAATTTTGGTCTAAAAAAGAGCCGGCCTTATGACATCCTGACCTCATCGCTCTGGGCTTCCATCATTGTGATTTTGTTTATTTTTTCTATTAAAAACAAAAAGTCACACACTCAAAAAAAAAAAAAAAAAAGAATCTTAAGCATTAGATGAATGCTTGTATGAAAGCTTGAGTCAATTGTGGAGAAGTTCTGATCCTGGCCCTAGAGTAATAATGTTTATTTCCACCTGCAACCTAGAGACTAAGCGCCCTCAGTTGGAGTTGCCCTATTCGGGGATGGAGATCTTGAAAGCTTCAGCGAGGTCTTCCACCATTGCTAAGTAAGAAGTAAATAATCAGTGAAGAACAAGGAAACCTTTATCTAGGCAAGGTACCCAGCCTTCAAAGGCGTATGTTCTGGACGGAGGATGAAGTAAGAATCAAATGGCTACAAGTCAGAAATGACAACCCTCTTATCCTACAACCGAGGGAATGAAAAGACCAATCTCTATCTGTAGTTCAAAAACCTATGAAATAGCTCTTCCATCTCTACTACCCTCTTTCCTGTTATATGTTGCCCTCTTTTCCTTTGTGTCTTCCCTCCTTCTTTCCTCTATCCATCTTCTCTTTCTTCCTCAAACATTTATTACGTAAGTCCTGCTTTGTGCTAAGCATTGGACTACACGGGATGGATAATGGTCCCTGCCCTTGAGGAACTTCTGAGGGGAGAAATATGCTCGAGTCTATTGAGGAAGAGGCCCATAGTTGGTTCTTGCAAGGCAGAGAGCTCAGAAAATCTCCTGAAAGACGAGTAGCTGTTGCAGGGGCTGGGGTCCAGTCCAAGCAGAGGGGACAGAAAGGAAACAGACACGAAACCACCTGGCTTCTTCAGAGAACTGCAAAGGGCTCAGTGCTTCCCTTTCAGCTCCCAGTGACACCTCAATCCCTCCACTCACCACTAAAGCTTCCACTGGGAATGATTTCTTCTCCGAATGCCCCACACACTCCTCTTTACCTCATTATGGCCCTCGGGACTACTCAGACCACAGCTTTCCATAGGGTCTGTCCTCCATCCCACCATAAGCCCGCTGAGGGCAAGAACTGAATCATGGCATCTTGCCTACAGAATTTGCTTATTTACTTGCCCAATTATTTATTCATCAACACTGTAACAATGATAAAAGAGTCTTACAAGAGAAAAAAGAAAAATCACATATCAACTATGAATTCATTTTTTTATGTTCCCAGAACCTTTGCATGTAATGTGCATAAAGACCTTTGCTAAACATACATTGTTACCAATACAAGTTTAATAAATGATTTAAAATATCTAATGGGCAAACACCAAGGTCAAGAGTTCAGATCACCGAAGATATTTACATTGAAACTGCTCTGAGGGAAGGTCTAGGTTGAATTATATCATATGAACATGTAAGTCATGACCGCATTTCTGGATACCTCCTCACATGTGCCATTTCAACCCTAAAACCAAGCAGGAAGGAAAGAAGACTGTTCTCGAATACATTTCATGCCCTAACAGCAAATCTAAAAATAATGTATGCTTTTCTCAAAACTCCTCAAAGTCAGAAGATTGCCTGGTGTGAATATCTTAACAGGAAATTTTCACTGTAGCTATGGAACTGCAAAGCAGCCCTCTTGTCCCTTATTAACTGTCTGTGGCTTGAGGTCAATCAAGTTAAAGGTACAGCATGGATTATTTGTCACCGTAACCTGAAAGCCTTTGTAAAAACACAGGATTAGGGACCTCAAACTGGATAGGCGACAACCGCTGAGGGAGCAGAGTGCCTGCTTCTCGGAGGGAAATAAAGGCCGCTCTCTGGACCCACAGGGTCCCTCCTTCTATTCCCAGGTCTCTTATCAAAAGTGAAGGGAGGGGGCTGGCGGTTAGCTCACGTGAGAGAGTGTGGTGCTGATAACACCACGGTCAAGGGTTGGGATCCCCCTTACCACCAGCCGCCAAAAAAGAAAAAAGTGAAGGGAGGATCCCTCTAACCTAGAAAGCCTGCAATTTGCAGGATCTTCAAATTAGAGAAATCATCTTCCTCATTACCTTTTTTCCCCCTCTGTGAATCTAAATCCATGTCAGAAGTTTACTAAGGTTATTCTAACAAACACATATAGACAACAAAATCAGAAAATGTATTTTTGTGAGACTGAGAGCCTTCATTTACAGAGTCCTCTCTGCACTAGCTGCTTTGTAAACCAGCCTCAGCTACTTTAGACACATTATCAATTGATGCTGTATAAAGCCAAAGACTATTTATTCTTCAAAACTATCCTGTGTTTGATTTTGGTTCTAAAAATTTTGCAATGGCCCCTGACCAAAAGCATGAATGATTTGAGTCATTTACTGCTGTGTTTTGAATGTGTTCCCCACATTTCATGTGTTGAAAACTTAATCCCTAAATTCACATGTTGGTTGGAGGTGGGACCTTTGGGAGGTAATTAAGATTAGATAAGGTCATCAACGTGGGGCCCTCATTAGAGGGCTGGTGGCTTTATAGGAAGAGGAAGGGAGACCTGAGCTGACATGCACGCTCAAGCCCTCTCGCCACACAATGCCCTCTGCCATGTCATGAAGCAGAAAGAAGGCCTCGCCAGATGTTGGTCCCTCCATCTTGGACTTTCTAGCCTCCAGAACCATGGGCCAAATAAACTTCTATTGTTTATAAATTACCCAGTCTGTAGTATTCAGTTATAGCAACAGAAAACGAACTAAGACATCCATGCGGGTAGTGAATGAGATATCCAGAGTCTTAAAAAGGGAAGAGGTAGGAGAACAGAATTCAGGAAATGCCTACATAAAATGTTTGGGAGGGGAGGAGGAAGAAATGCTACCAGGACAGGCTGAGAAGATGAATCATGAGGTCAGGTCAGCTTACCTTGGCAATTCTTCCAGCTGAAAAAATCCATCACTGGTTATTCCTAGGCTGGCACCTGTGTAGAAAAATGCAATATAGTTCATGCAAGACTGCTCTTGTAAAATAACCACAGCATTTTATGCAAGAACCAAACACTTTCTCAGCCAACGCACACTCTGTTTTGATGAGTTTTGTTAAAGTCTCCACTTGGGAAGCTGCCAACCAAGTCTTCCTTGAGTCAATATTTTTTTTTGTTTGTTTGCTTCCTCTCCTGAAACAGGAGCAGTGATGGCTAAATAACTTTTAAATTTCTCTGAAGGGCTGGCCGGTTAGCTCGGTTGGTTAGAGCACGGTGTTATAACACAAGATCAAGAGCTCTGATCCCCATACCGGCCAGCCACCAAACAAAAACAAAAACAAAAAACTTTCTCTGAAGAACTAAAATCTTCTCAACTCTTATGAAGAGACTCTATGCCAGCTCTGCTCACCCTCCTACCCCAAGTGCAGGTGAAGGCCCGGGGCAGCCTTGACTCTCTTCTGTCTGCTGGTTTCTTCCAAGGCTTCAACCAAACCCCACTGTGGAGGAATTCCAGATGCGCAGTTCCAGTTCTGACCTTCGCCCCAAGTTCCAGTTCCACATGTCTAACTGTCCCGCTACACAATTCCACTTCGCCTCAAACTTGGATATTTAGAATTGAACCTTAACTTTATCTCCCAAGCCACGTCCCCTCTCTCAAGCTCACCACTTCAGTTAAAAGAACCACTTTCCCCCATAATCCAGAAAAAGCCCTGAGTTCTCAATCTGTGATTCTTTATCTCAGCACTGCTGCCCCAATCCCTGTATCTGATCAGTTATTAAATACACTGCGTTTTACCAAATCCTGATTTCAGAGGCATTGAATATTTTTTTAAATGTGTCTTGGGGGCTGGCCAGTTGGCTCAGTTGGTTACAGCATGGTGCTGATAACACCAAAGTCAAGGGCTCAGATCACCAAAAAAAAAAGTGTATTGGAATCAATAGCTACAGTAAATATTCTTCCTCCTGTGTGTCTCTCATGCCAGTTCTCTTCTCTGGTCCTTGGCATTATAGCAGGGGTTCACGAACTGTCTGCAGAACTGAAGTGAGATTTTCCCATCACGCTGCAGGTGCAAACACTAACTTAGAACCACATCACCACCTCCTGCAGAGGCGACTGCAACAGTTTTCTAACTGGTCTCCATTCCCTATGCTCTGCCCCTTTGAAGTCACTGTCAGATTAGTTTCTAAAATTATCACTTAGAACTTACCACTGCTCTATTTATAAGATAATAATTACTTGCCATAGTTGCCATAAATTTAGAGATTCCTTTATTTGGCTTGCTGAGTCTCTACAGTTTGGCCCTTATCCAATTCCTGTCTCAGCTCAAAGTATTCACCTCAAGAATTTCAATGCTAGAAAAACTGACTGGTCGCATGTCCTTCAAAGACACCTTGGTCAGCCATGGGTTCTTCTGGCCATCGTCTTCCTCAGCACACAGCGCTCAGTTTGTGAGCCCCCTTCCTAGGAAGTCTTTCTGGTTGATGCTAGCCCATGATAATCTGTCCTGACTCTGAGCATCTCAACCCTCACTGTCTGCCAATCACCTTCAAACATTTACATTTTATTTTTTGCATTTGTTTTTATTATATATTTTTAAAATTAATAAATATATACATTAATCATTTCAAAGGGTACAATAGTACATAGTAAAATATGAGGATACTTCAAAAAGCTCATGGAAAGATTCATATTATTTTTCAATTTTATTTTTCCACGAACTTTTTGAAGGACCCACATATAGTGATCTCTTCCCCCACTACACCTCTAAGTCCTCTCCTTGGAGGAACTCACCAGTATGGTTTTTGAGTATCTTCCCAGAGATATTCTAGTGCACATGTGTGGTCTCCCTGCCTTTTTAAAAAGACACAAATTGTAACAAACTATACACACCGTTTTAGCCCTTTTTTCATTTAACAGTACATCTTAGAGACTGTTCCTATCAAAAATGCTTATGTCCAATATTCCTAACTAAATTTTAAGTTACTTGAGAACAGTATCTTCCTATATTTTACCTGTAGCTGTCTTTTACCTTTGGGGGTCATGACCCCTTTTAAACCCAGTGAAAATTTATAGATCCTCTCTCCAGAGAGGAAAAAACAAATAAATGCATACACACTCAAAATTTTCCATACAAATTCGGGTTAGTCATGGGTCTTATGAAACCAGTCCATGCAGAGTTCAAAAGATGTATAAACTAGGTTCATCATCTGCAAAGTCCTTATGATCTAGTTAGAAAGACATGGGCAACGTTTTGTATGAGAGAAGAAAGCAGCATGTTCATCATTCATCCCTGGGGATTAGCCCCCACACGTATAAAATGCAAAGGCAGACACTATACCTCTGAGATTCCTTACTGCTTTAGTCACTTATAATTCTCTATATAAGAAAGAAAGATATGCACACGAAGAAGGCTTATTTAGCTAATTAAGCTAAATCCTTACACAATTTCTCTCCCTTAAACAAAACAGTAACTACATCACATGTCTTGTAAATAACAACCCATCTGACAAACTGAGGCTGGAAACCGTGTATAGCATGCTGCAAAGGAAATAACGAGGCTCTCACTGATTTTTCTGTTACCGGCAATATGCCTGAGCCTGGAGCTGGATGAAACGTCTTTCTTTGTCCCATCACCAGCTACCACTTAGCCGATTACATTTCGGTTCCTCAGAGACCTTCCCTCACAGCCTTTCTCAAGGGAGAGAACTAGTACAGGCAGATCCCACGGCATGGCTCGTAAGGTTGAAAGCAATGGTAAACTCCTGACTGTTGTTAACAAGTATCTGCCTTTGGAAGACTCACCAGGGATCTGGCTGTCATGAGGATGCGAGGGCACACCACCTGTGGCAATCAGGATGTGAGGAGCCGTGTATTTCTTCCCATTGACCTCCACTGTGGGTGTGGGATCACGTGTGAACGCGGCATGGCCATGGATGATTTCTATATGGGACTGCAACAGAAACCATGACATTAGCCTGTTCTTAAGATAAAACAAAAATACCTGCTGCAATCCAGCAGATCTTTCACGTCTCTACTGACGATTTTGATTTCCGGTTTGCAGATGCCAAGACATATTCTATTGTTTGAGTTTGTGCAGAACTCCTGACTGGTAATTAAGTAAGAGGGTTGCCATTAGATGCTGGAAGTGTACAGTAGGAAGAAACAAAGGTGCTATCCTGGGCCAAAATCCAGAGACAAAAAATACATGCAAGTCACTCCCACAAGGAAAAAGATGACATTTTTGTCCCAAAGAGTTGAAGGAGAAAGTCTTCCTTACTTGCACTGAAAACAAATTAAAGAATACTGTGTCTGGATGAGGGGAAGAAGGCCAAGAAAGACAAAAGAAAAAAAAGGTGACAAGAGCAGTGACAAGAGAAAAACACTCTGGCCATGAGAAGAAAATGCAAGGCTTCTGTATTCTTAAACAAAATAGGAAGAATACCACAAAATTACAGGACGATGAAGTTCTACGCTAAGCATATTGAGAACTCAGATCCTGATCTGCTCTTACCAGCATCCTCTGTACCAGAGCCTCAACCTGGGGACTGCTGGCAAGCTCTGCCAGCCATGCCATGTACTGGCATGCAAATGTGGGGAACTTACAGGGATAAAGGAACCACAGAAGCATAATTACAGAATGGAACAGTTTAACATTTTGGAACATGCTTGGTTCTGACCTGAGTTATCTCCTTCTTTCCAACCACCCCCTGAGGCCTGTTCCTGCAGGTGTCTGGCTTACACAAGATGAAGCAAGATCAATGCCAAAACCCACAAGCCTCCACAACAACCATCCTTCAGGAGGTAATAACTTCCTGTGAGGTGCTTGACAAAAAGGGGTGTGGGTTGAGTGGAGATGACACAGATAACAGTATGGGGGAGGAACTGATAAGATTTTTATTTTTATTTCCTGGGCGTTAGACAAAAAGTTTCTTTTCCTACGCAGAATTTCCAGGTCAACTGTAAGTAATTCCTTCCCCATAAGGTCACAGTAGGCTCTACTACACACCAAGATTTGTAAGTATTAAAAAATGCTGATTCATGACTGGCCAGTTGGGTGGAGCACGATGTTGATAGCACCGAGGTCAAGGGTTCGGATCCCCCTACTGCCCAACTGCCAAAAAAAAAAGGTGGGGTGGGAGGGCTGGGCAGTTAGTTCAGTTGGTTATAGTGCTGTTTTAGTGTCGTGCTGATAACACCAAGGTTCAGGGTTCAATCCCTGTACTGGCCAACTGCCAAAACAAACAAACAAAAAGCTGATTCCTCAGTAATTTTCCCATCTCTTTTGCAAAAGTATTTTAGCTAGCCCCATTAAAGAAAATTGATTTGGGTGCTTTAGCATAGCAAGTGGTCTCTATATGCACCTCTAGAGCCTCAAAATCTCCTGTAGTTATTGTATAGGGGACTGCAGGCCCCTAAATATTTTCCCCCTGAATTGGGGTTTAAGGTCAGAAAAGATCACACTCCAAAAAACAAATCCAATGAATAATAAGAACAACATAAAAGTATATGAGGTTAGCCATCTGTAGAAGTAACTCACCCTAAAAACTGGTTTATAAACATGCTGCTGATGAAACTACAGTGGACCAAATATTATCAAGAATCTACTGGTCTGAATATAACCTAAACTATGTGGGAATCTTAGAAACTGTAAAGTGAGGGCCGGCCCGGTGGCGCACTGGATAGTGCGCCGCTTGGGAAGTGCGGC